ATAAAACACTCTTGCACTCAGAACGAAAACTACATGCTACAAGTATCAGTCTATATGCTTGCCCTTATTTTAACTCGCTGTTATCTCGGGAATGATTGGCCGTAGATCATCCAGCACTTTTCACGAGTTGTAGTGTAGGCTTCGGGACGGGTTGGATGAATATTTGCGAATGTAGTGGCTATACCCTCCTTGAACTCTACATACACTTTGCTTCTTTACTACGTAGCACTTATTGACCTTGAGTTACCGACATAGAACCACCTCAAAGTATTTCTTCAGTTTTTGCAAGACTCCAGTCCATTTCTCATTTTTTTTTACAATTGTTTTTCTTTTTGGAGCTTGAGTATCTTCATATATATAACTTTAAGGTTTTTTGTTGTTCTATACACAGTATTCAACCTTACCCATTTCCACTTTATACCGGTACACCCAACTTAGCTTTTAGCCTCATTCTTAATCGTTTAAGGAAGGATGGGTTCAAAAGAGGGGATTATTTCACAAGGGGTAAAGATTTGTAATGTGGTAGACAAATAAAAGGTTAAAGGCTCAACGAGGGTAACTAGGGTAATTGATGTACCAGGAAGGTCAATTTGGTCAAAATTAGCTAGCAGTCACAAAGAGAGCCTAAGATCATTTCATCACCCAATCATTAACTTGAGAGTTGCATTAAGAAACCAATCGGGCAAGTTCTAGACATCACTAGTTAAGCATATGCATTATTTATGCAAATCCTCACTCACTCGAAATGCATGAACTGTTCGACTCAGCATAATTTCAGCCCTCAAGTGAATGCAAGGCAACTCAAAGCTTCATCACATGATAATTAAGATTCTGAGTAAGCATTAAGTCAAAGGGCGAGCCTCAAATTCACAAGAATGACCAACCATTTTTGTTTTTTTTATTTATATAAAATTAGAAAGGTACAATTTATTCAACACAAATTCATTACATGCTCGAAGCTAGAACAATCAACACCAAACAAGTCAAAACATATTGTGCTACCGCCATGGTTCTACTATTACACCCTTGGAAAAGAACCCAGCGAAGAAAAACTAAGGGGAATTCATTGCTATCTACAAATCTACACTATTAAAGTAACGAGTTTATGTACAAGTTTCTAATAAGAATTTGACTATCCCACCTCCAACCAAAAAGCATGCATTGTCTCCAATGCATAGAGAATGTAAAAGCAAAGTTTAGGGGCTTGAGGGGCTGAAGCATCTGGGGTAGTTGTGGGGTCAGATGCTGGCACTGTGGAAGCAATAGGTAGAACCTCGAACTGTGTGATGGTATCTGAGGCTAGAATGGGAAGCTCTATCTGCCGTGGAGCTAGGTCTGGGACCTGTGAGCTGCTAGCCTCTCCCATTGATGGCTACATGGTCGATGGGTTGGCCGTGGCGACCATGTCCGCAATAGAGTGTGCAATTGCCCACTATACATCTGCTTCCTCTACATTCTGTATATCTGTAGAGATAGCAACTTGTTTTCCTCTATTGTCCTGTTGATCCTCAGTTTTCTCAACCATGCCTCCTCATCAGTTTCCTCCTCCTCCGTGTCTCCCTCATCAGTCCCCCTCAGACTCTCCGAATCCCTCCCCTGAAGCGGTATCAATGTGTACAATGGAATTCAAAACCTTTGAAGTCTCACTACCCTGGGCTTCTGGAGCTGTCATAAGGTTTGTAAAATCCAGGTCCAAGCTCGGAATGTGCGAAGTGCCAGTGCCCTGCTCACCTTCATACGAAAGAAAGGAGGTCAAGTCATACTCCAAATTCTGAATCTTGTGCAGCTCTGATTTCAGCTCAGGGACATCTTTCTGGAGTTGAGGCATATCTCCAGCTTCGCCTCTCTCGACCCTCTCAAGTCGCACTTCAAAGTGCTTGAGTCGATCTTCATAGGATTGATGTTGTTGTTAAAGAACACTTACTGAGGCTTGGATATGGGCCAGTGCTTTCCGGATGAGGGATGGGAGTTCCTTTGTCAGTCTGTCTACCTTGGCATTGGCATGTTGAGCTAGTAGACCCAACTTTGATAGAGCTGGTAAGGCAGCAGGTGGTTGTGCAGTGGTTTGCTTAGGAGTGGATGTAGAGGTAGCTGGTGCAGAGGGAGTGTCAGGCAGTGAGGGAGCAGCATGTGCTGCTGAGTTTGGAGGAGGAGTGAGTGAAGGCTCTGTTGGATCGTCGACCACTGTATCTGTAGCATCATTTATCCGGGTGATGTCGATATCCCGAAGAGCTTTTGCTATGAGATCATGTTTGGGGGTAGGAGGAACTGTTACAGCTTTACACAAGGCATAGATTAGGCATGGAAAAGGGAGCTAAGTTGTTGTCTGGTTCTCCCGGATCCCAATCTCACGGTATATAATCTCTCCCACATCAACCTTGATTCCCGTCATGATGCATGCAATTAGGATTGCCTTCTCGATGCTTATATCATTTTCATTTCTTGAGGGCGTTAGACGGGAACAGACAAAACTCAGCCAATAGCGACCTTCTTGGGTAAGATCCCTCTTGTGGATCTTTTGTTTAGGTTCAATCTAGGGCGGAGTTCCCTTGGCTATGATAGAAGCTACCCAAGTACGCTCGGATTCCTTGTTTTTAATCTTTTCGTCATATTCTGCGGTGCCTGGTTCCCAATCCTCGAAGTATCCATCATCGATTGATCCAGCATCATAGAGGACTTCAACTCCACGGACTAACAGTGCCCAAGAACCTACAGTTTCTCTTTTGTTCTACGTTCCAGGACGCAGCATAGCCAGCATAGAATTCCCGCGTGAGTGTCTCATTGTACTCTCTTGGGACCTGACTGAATGACTCCCACCCCCTCTTTTTGATGTTTTCTAGTACATGAGGGTAATGTTCTTTTAGACCGTTCAAGTGGAGCTGCTTTTCTTCCGGGATTTCTCTTTTTTTCTAAGCCCTCCCTGTACAGGGTCAAAGAGCAGGAAACCCCAAACCTGAGATCTTCCATATTTTTCCGGCGTACTTCAGCATGAAGATCAACAGGTGGCACATGATCGGTCCGTGCTTCCTCCTCTTCATACTGGGAGGAATGCTCAGATGTTCTTCTAGCTGTGTCAGGTCGGGAGCATTTGTATTGCTGTGTTTGTTGGCTCAGAGCAGTAGCTCGTTTGTTTCCTCGAGCGGGAGGTGATCGCAATGAAAGAGACTTCTTTGGTGCCATTCCTGTCAATGAAACAGTCGGTGAGTGGTTGATACGGCATGGGAAACATATTGAGAGAGTTTGAAAGAGGCAAGAGCTTTTGCGATGAGTTATGCGATCACATAACAGCAATGCAAACCGCAAACCCATCGCACAATAAAATCACTCAGAAGCCAAAGCAAGTATGTGATCGTGAAAAGGACAGCAAAACAGGCTATGTGACCGCAGACTGGTCGTATTTTTGCTCACCAAATGGGGCAATTTTTCTACTCAGTTCGCGCAATTCCGCGATCCACGAAATGAGCTTGCGATCGCAATCTCGACCGCAAAAGTCCTTCTCAACAAGCCACCTAGGACACCAATATGCGACGATTTTGCGGATAGTGAACCCGTTATGCGGACCGCAAAGATTGTCTCCCTCAGTCAAAATATCGATTCTTTACGTACAGATTCTCTACACCCAATCTCAGACCTTGCACACTCATGCCATGGAAAAATTACCCAACCCCCTGGTCTTTTGCTCCTAGCATGAATATTAGGTCTCTCAACCTAGTCTACCCCCAGCCTTAGTGTGCCCCCAAGCAAAAAAAAATTCGAATCAATTAGGCACCCATGGATCCCCATAGCAAAGCATTGAGAAGAAGGGGAAACAAAGGGGTGCAAACACATGACCTTATTCAACGTAATTAAGAAAGAAAGGGAGGAAAATTACATACCAAATATCTGAGCAATTGAAGAAGTTGTACTGAGAGGTGAACCAGGTGAGTTCTTCTGCAATTCCGACCCCCCCCCCTTTTTTTTTTGTGATTTTGTGTGTTTAATCTAATGTCTGTTGTTGTTCTTCTCCCCCTCTTTTTTATGTTTTTGATTTTTGTTTGTGTTATGCGGTGCGTGTGTGTGAGTGAAAGTGAGAGTGAGAGTGAGAGTGAAGGTGAAGGTGTGTGACTGAAATGCGAAAGGATTAGGGTTTAATACCTGTGAGTTTTGCGGCGGACAAGTGGACCGCATAACACATTATGCAGTCGCATATGTGTTATATGATGAGTTAATGGCTGGGTGGCGCAACTTTACTTCGCGATGCATTCTGCGGTCGCATAACTGTTATGCAGGCCGCAGAATTAGAAAACCTGCCACATCTTTGAAGACCAAATTTGCATTTTTTCTGACTGTGTCCGCGACCACTATGCGGTCCGCATAGCCATCATGCGACCGTATAGTTGCCGCAAATCACGAGTCCTTCTTTTCTTTATTCTCCTCAATCCTTGCACCTTGTTTCATTGTATTTTGAGCTACCTGCATTCTAACACATACGTCAAATTGCTCAACACTAACAACTAAACCTACAGAAATTAAAAATCTAACAAAAGAGTGTTACCACACATGGGTTGCCTCCCAAGAAGCGCTTGATTTAACGTCGCGGCATGACGATGTTGACCCCGATTGGGCTACTCAGTGGTGGGGGATGGTGTAGGACTATCCTTGAGAGCAATTTGTTCTATCAAATGCCTTTCTCATGTGGTACCGAGGTAATGCTTGACCCATTGGCCATTTACTTTGAAAGTTCGAGTTCCATCCTCCGAGTCAAATTCAATAGCACTATAGGGGGACACACTCACAACTTTGAACGGGCCAGACCATTTGGATTTGAGTTTGCCCTGAAATAACTTGAGTCTTGCTTTGAAGAGTAAGACCAAGTCTTCGGATATGAATTCCCGCTTCAAAATCTTCTTGTCATGAACAAATTTCATTCTCTCCTTATACATGGCTACACTCTCATAGGCATGGAGACGGAATTCTTCCATCTCATTGAGTTGTGTCATTCTTAGGTTAGCAGCTTCGGCCTAATCAAGATTCAACTTTTTCAATGCCCACATGGCTTTGTATTCAAGCTCAACTGGCAAGTGAGACGCACTACCAAAAACCAACCGGTACGGTGAGGTGTCAATGGGAGTCTTAAATGTTGTGCAATATGCCCACAACGCATCATCTAGCTTCCTTGACCAGTCAGTCCTGTTTGCATTAACTGTTTTATCTAGGATGTTTTTGATCTCCCTGTTGGAAACTTCAACTTGGCCACTCGACTGAGGATGATAAGGTGTGGCCACCTTATTCTTGACTCCATACTTTTAAAGCAGCCCGGTGAAGGCCTTGTTACAAAAGTTAGAACCACCATCGCTAAGGATGGCCCTGGGTACCAAAATGCTTGAATATGTTTTTTTTTCAAGATGGCGGTCACAATCCTTGCCTCATTGTTGGGCAAGGCGATTGCCTCAACCCATTTAAAGACATAGTCCACAGCCACCAAGATGTACGTCATGCCATAAGAGCTCACGAAGGGACCCATAAAGTCTATCCCCCACACATCAAAGATCTCAACCTCCATCACAAAGTTCATAGGCATCTCATGTATTTTAGAAATTGACCCTTGCTTTGACATTGATCACGTGCCTTGACCATTTGATTTGCGTATTGGTAGATTGATGGCCAATAGTAGCCACATTCAAGCACTTTTGCCGCAGTACGATTTCCTCCATGATGCCCCCCCCCCCAATCGGGGAGTCATGGCATGCTTTGAGAATTGGCATTACTTCATCTTCTGGAACACACGCCGAATGATGTTGTCGGCACAAATACGGAACAGAAAGGTTTCCTCCCAATAGTATTGCCTACTCCCCTGCAAGAATATTTTCTTTTGATAAGCTTCCAATCCGACGGGAACAGGTCACTAACCAAAAAGTTAGTGATGTCGGCATACTAAGGAGCGAATGTGCTAGACAATGCCAATATATGCTCATCTGGAAAGGCATCATTAATTTCAAGGTCTTCTTTTGGTCTCCCTGCCTCTTCAAGCCTAGATAGGTGATCCGCAACTTGATTTTATGCCCCTTTCTGATCCTTGACTTTAAAGTCAAACTCTTGCAACAAATGGAAACACCTATTCAATCTTGGTTTAGCATCCTTCTTCGCCATAAGATAGCGGAGAGCAGCATGGTCGGTGTAAACTATCACTTTGGACCCCAACAAATAGGCCCGAAATTTTTCAAAAGCATAGACAATGGGAAGCAGCTCTTGCTCAGATTGAGTGTCTTGCTTGCATAGTAGACAGGATGAAGGATCTTTTTATGCCGTTGACCAAGTACCGCCCCAATAGCTACACCGCTAGCATCACACATGGGTTCAAATGGAAGGGACCAATCAAGTGTGACAATAATAGGTGTCGTGGTGAGATTTTCTTTCGATTCCTCAAAAGCTTTGAGACACTTCTTGTCAAACACAAACTTTGCATCTTTTTCAAGGAGCTTGCACAATGGTTTTGCAATTTTGGAGAAGTCCTTGATAGAACGCCAATAGAAACCGGCATGCCCCAAAAAGCTTCGGCAACCTTTTACTGAAGTGGGTGGAGGAAGCTTGGAAATGATTTCGATCTTTTTCCGGTCAACCTCTATGCCTTGTTTGGAAATTTTGTGGCCCAAAACAATGCCCTCGTCCACCATGAAGTGGCACTTTTCCCAGTTTAGCACAAGGTTGGTTTCTTCACATCCTTTGAGCACTTGTCTCAGGTTGTCAAGGCAATGCTCAAAGGAGTCATCCACTATAGAGAAGTCATCCATAAACACCTCTAGAAAATCTTCCACCATGTCCATAAAGATTGACATCATGTACAGTTGAAAGGTAGTCGGGGCATTGCATAGCCCAAATGGAATACGGCTAAGGGCAAAGGTCCCATACGGGCATGTGAATGTTGTTTTCTCTTGATCTTATAAGGCAATGTTGATTTTGTTATAGCCGGAGTAACCACCCAAGAAGCAATAGAATGACCTTCCCACTAGCCAATCAAGCATTTGATCAACAAAAGGCATAGGGAAATGGTCCTTGCAAGTAGCACTGTTTAGCTTCCGGTAGTCCATGCAAACTCTCAACCCGGTCACTGTTCTCATTGGGATGAGCTCATTTTTGTCGTTTTGAATCACAGTCATGCCTCCTTTCTTTGGCACACATTGCACCGGACTCACCCAAGAACTATCAGCAAGGGGGTAGACTACCTCGGAATCTAACCATTTGATGATTTCTTTATTTACCACCTCTTGCATGGAAGGGTTTAACCTTCTTTGATGCTCCACGCTAGGTTTGCTCTCTTTCTCCAATTGTATCTTGCGCACACAAATTCTGGCGGGAACTCCTTGGATGTCTGCTATTGTCCACCCAATGGCTTGCCTGTGCTCCCTCAGGACATTCAACAAGTGTTCTACCTGCACATCATTCAACTAAGAAGAAACGATTATCGGTAGAGTTTCATTAAAGCCAAGAAATTTATACCTTAAGTGCGGTGGAAGTGGCTTGAGCTCAAGTTGTGGCGGCCTAATAATTGAAGGATTGGCGAGAGGAATGACTCTATTCTCTAAATCAAGAGAAAGTTTCTTTGGTGCATTAGTGTAGGACCCAAGTCCTTCTAATGCATTCACCGATTCCATTGTACCCCTCCATGTATTCACCATCAAAATTCACCAAAATAGCCACCAATGCCTCACAAAGGCATCTTCTTCCATATTTATCTCGATACGTCTTCTACCTCATCAAAAACATCAATGATTGAGATGTTTTCTTATGCATGTGGAAACTTCATACCCTTACTCGCTTGAAAGGTAACCTCTTCGTCATTAACTCGACACTTGATCTCATTTTGTTCTGAATCCATAAGTGCTCTTTCGGTAGCAAGGAATGGTCTCCCCAAGATGATAGGGATTTCTTTATCAATAGCACAATCAAGGATCACAAAGTTGGCGGGAAGGAGGAACTTCCCCACTTTCACAAGAACATCATCAACAATACCCACCGGTCTCTTTATTGAACGATCAGCCATTTGCATCCTCATACTTGTAGGCCTCGGCATACCTAACCCCGCTTGCTTATTAATAGCAAGAGGCATCAACTTGATGCTAGCCCCATTATCATAAAGAACTATTGCAAAATCGCGCAACCCAATAGTGCATGGAATGGTAAAAGCTCCCGAGTCTTCTTTCTTTTGAACAGTGGTTGTTGCAATGATGGAACTAACCCGGTGAGTCACATTCACCACTTCATTCTTGGTGGTTTTCTTCTTGGTGATCAAGTCTTTCAAATACTTAGAAAAACCTGACATCTCTTTAAATGCTTCCACAAATGGAATATTCACCGATAATTGCTTGAGAATGTCATAGAACTTCTCGAGTTTGCTATCATTAACCTTCCTAGCAAGTCTTTGAGGAAAAGGAGGAGGAGGTCTAGGAATTGGTGATAGAGTTTTTGGTGTCTCTTTCACCTTTTTCTTAACCTCTTAACGGTTCACTTCTTGAATTTTCACCTCCTCTGGGACTTTTTCAGCTTCAACAACAATTGGCACCTCAACTTGTGCCTCAACTTCTTGTTCAGAATCTTCCACTTCGACCAGTAGTTCATTCTCTCCTAGAAGTATTTTCCCACTCCGAGTTGTGATTGCCATACAATGAGAAGTTGGACCGCTCCCACTACCTTTTGGGTTTACTATTATGTCACTTGGGAGTGTGCCCTTCTACTTCGGATTTTGTTCTCTTGATAGATCTGTCATTTGCAATTGTAACTTTTGTATGGATGCAGTGTGGGAGCCCACAAGCTCGGTCATGTTCTTCATTGATGTGTCGGATGTTTCTTGATTTAGCAATACTCGTTCAAGCATATTTTCTAACTTGGACTCACTTGAGGAACTTTCCTTCAAATGCGGAGAGTTGGAATATTGCCCCTTTGGTGGAACATAGGGGTTTGAACTCCGATTTGAAAAGTTGTTGTTGTTGTTACTCCAATTCCCTTGATTTGAGCTACCTTGGTCATTTCGCCACTGTTGGTTGCCTTGCCCTTGCGGGTTAGGCCTCCATTGGTTTTGTTGTCCTGGACCTTTGTAGTCTTGCCTTTGATAACCTCCTTGAGAGTTGTTAACATAATTTACTTCCTCACAATCCTCATTTGCACATCTTCCACAACATTCACCTTTTTTGTTTGGCTCTCAGTGAACATCTTGGTCAACACATTGATGTTGGTAGCAAGCCCGGCAATTACTTGATCTCTCTCTTGGGTCTCCTTAATCATGTTGGTCAAGGAGGGAGTACCATATGCAATTCCACCCGTAGTGTCTTCTGCGTGCCAAGCTTGGTTATGTTCTGCCATCTTGTCAAGAATTTGTGTAACCCTTGCAAATGTTTTATCCATAAAAGATCCATCAACTGCATTTTTGGCTATGGATTGGTTCAAAGGATCCAAGCCCATGTAAAACTTCTCTAACAAAATGTTGTCCGGAAAACCATGATTCGGCGACCTCACTAGATATAGCTTGAATCAATCCCATGCCTCATGTAGATGCTCTCCCGGTAGCTCTTGAAGAAGAAATATTTATCCCGGAGCTCGGACTTCTTGCTTTGCGGGAACCATTTAGCTAAAAGAGCTCGGACGAGTTCAGGCCACGAATGAATGGAATTAGGTGGTAGATTTTGGATCCATTTCCTTGCCTCTCTGGCTAGTGAGTACTTGAACACCCTCAACCTTAGAGAATCATCTGAGACGTTATTCTGCTTGTGCATCGCACACACACCCAAGAAGTTTCTGAGATGGTTTGTCAGATCATCATCGGTGGAATTTCTAAAAAACCGCTCTGCTTTGAGCATTAGAATTAGACCGTGTTCCACCTTGAAGGTAGCATCATCAACTCTTGGAGGTACAATAGCCTTTGTATCCTCAATTTACTCGTCTATATCCGCAAAAAGATTCTCTTCGTCATACTCGGCCATGTTTACCTAATAATACCAAGCAAAGAAAGAAAAGTGTGATGGACTAGAAAAAGACGTAAAGTAAAGCACACACTAGATAGTAATTTCAAAACCGTATTCCCCGGCAACAGCGCCAAAGTTTGCTACGCTCAAATTTCACATAAATTAATAGTGTAAGGCGGTCGGTGTCAAATATAATAACCCAACAAGGTTGGGGTCGAATACCACAGGGAATAGGTGTGAAAAGATTACTTGAATAGTGTGAAACTTGACTTAAGTCGTAATTCTGCTCCTTTAGCTTAAAAAGAGAATGATATAATTGTGAATTAACAAGATAACTATATTGTTGTGAGAATGTAATTAATTTGATTAAGGAAACCAAGGTTGTGTCCCCATCAATGAAGTGTAATGCTATCGGTGTTAGTATGATATATTTCTAATGGAAGGTTCTTTGATATGCAAATGGTTTCTAAATGACTACCCAATATTTTTCAATAGTTGGGTAGTATTTTCTCTTTATGATTTTTCCACATATAAGAGAGTTGCAATTAAGACTAACCAATTTATGCCAAGTAGAACCCACTGATTTCTAAGCGATTCTATTAAACAAGGTTTAAAGCCTTGAGTTCTTGATATTCACTTCTACCAAACCCTAACCCACTTTTCCAAGTAAAGATAGAGTAAAATGGAATGAGTCAATATTTGCAACCACCAACAATAAATAAAGTATAAAAAATGAATAAATATCAACCAACCATTATATATATATATTCAATGTTAAACACTCATTTACACCCACATAGGGTCCACAACCTTAGTATTTAAAACTAGCTGCTCATACTAGAATCCAAGAACAAAGCAATAAATAAAGTCATAAAGCTTACAAAGGTACAAGATTCTCTCTTCAAAAGCTTCCAAAAGAATGGTATATTCAATGCCTTCAATGTAGTCTCTTTTTCAGACCCAATGTCCCAAAGCCCCCTAGTAAATCTATTTATAGTGGACCAAAAGTCGGGGTCAAAGTTGGACAAAAATGCCCCTGCAGAACCCATCTGCGACCGCATAATGGTCGCAATCAGGTATGCGGTCCGCATATTTACAAGGGTCGTCGCATCATCAACGCCCAGTTGCCCAGTTCTCCATCGCATTTCCATTCTGCGGTCCGCATAGTGATTATGCGACCGCAGACTTCATCGCTGAGTGTTCAAGCAAAGTCTCTTGTTGCAATTGTGCGGTCATTATACGGTCTGCATAAGCATTATGCGACCGCATAATGGACCGCATATTATTATCTTCAATAGCTGAAAAACCTGCTTCAGCCTGCGGTAGGTTTGCGGTCCACATGTCACTTCCGCGGTCGCAGACTTGCCGCATTTCTGCCCTTCTATGGGTTTTTGACTTCTTTTCCATGTTTTTGGTTCTTCAAGTCTCGTACACTATAAAAAACCAAAACGTCATAAGAAATAACTAAAAATGCTTCAAAAGACGAGCTAAAGTTTATGTAATTAGTATCGAAAGTGCCAAAATTCTATGGCACATCAATGATTCTTCAGCAATTCCTTCAAGTCCAAAAATGAATCGGAACTCAATCCAAATCACACCGGGGGGCCCCGGGGCCCCATCCAAGCATACCAACAAGTCTTATAACACAAAGCGAACCTACTCGAGGCTTCAAATCACATAAACCAACATTAAAACCATGAATCGCACATTAATTCGAGCTTAATGAACAAATGAATTAATGAACTTTTAACTTCCCAAATTCATGCCGAACCTTATCAAATCAACTCCGAATGATCTCAAATTTTGCATGCAAGTCCCAAATGACACAAACAGCCTATTTCCACTCCCGAAACATAAATCGGAACCCGATATCATCAAAGTCAACTCTCGGTCAAACCCATCAACCTTCCAAACTTCAAGTTTTCAACTTTCGCTAAAAAGCACCAAACCTACCTACAGACCTCAAAATTTATATCCAGACATACGCCTTAGTCTAAAATCACCATACGAAGCTATTGGAACCATCAAAACTTTTTTTCGGAGTCATCTACAGAAAAGTCAAACTTCGATCAACTTACAACTTAAACTTCCAACCTTGGGACTAAGTGTCCCAATTCACTCCGAAACTTCCCTGAAACCGAACCAACCACCCCGGCAAGTCACGAAACCTCAAATACACATAAGTAAATTATTAAATAGGAAAAACGGGGCTAAAGTACTCAAAATGACCGACCGGATCGTTATAGTGTGCAACATTAAAAGTAGAGAACTACATTAAAAGTAAGGTTAATATTGGAGCCCATGTGTTAAAAGTATGCATGAACCGAAAATTGGAGCCCATGAGCAAGGGTTAGAAGTGGATTTTGCTTTTATATATGTAGTAGCAGGATTTGGTTGAGAGTTTGTCTCCACGTGTAGTACTCTAAATGTTCTTTTTTTTTGTGGGATAAAAAATTTTTAGTATCGTCAAATTGGTCAGTGCTTGATCTAAATCCACCTTGAACCTTTCTTCAATCTCGCTTTGAACCATTGGCTCTAATACCATTTGTTGGGATCGAAAAATAAGGTATCGTCCGGAAGTTAACAAAGCAAATCTTGTTGACGATAAATAAGACAAGAAAGAAAATATACTAAAGAAGCATATTATATTATTATAGTATATTTAAGTGACATACATAAATCTACTAATATTAAAAGATGAAAAAAAGTTATCGAAATAAATCTCCCCCTAAACAAATTTTTGTAAGGACTACATTGTGGATATTATTGTGTTGTGTGAATGAGAGATTCTCAATATAAAAAAGATCTATATTTTATTGAAGAAAAAATAAAAATTATGATAAACTCTTTGCCCTTCCTTACAAAAAGTAAAATTTAAATATGAAAAAAGAATCAAGACAAAATACTAACATAAAGAGACATGGCCATGGATAATATGAGAGATATAATTAAGGAGAAGACCAAAAGACTTCTGGTGAAACAAAATTGATGTGGAACATGTTGACCTTCTTACCATCAGAATTCATGGAGACATTGAATTTTATGTGAATCCCGGGAAACACGGGCGAATTCAATATATTAGTTATGGGTTGAATTGAACCCATAACTTTTATCCTAAACCTAGATTTTCAGTATAAAACTCATTAAAATTGCTGAAAAGTTGAGCTATGAACCCATAGCTCAAACAAGGGGATGGGTTCAGTGGTTGAAGTCAAAAATTTTGAACCCATAGAATTAAAATCTTAGATCCACCTATACTAGAAAAGAAGTTGTAGCAGATCAAGAATTTCTATTTTCCCCCCTTTTTATCAAGTTACACCGCGTAAAAGTGCAGGAATGAACACCTTTTCTTCCCTCTGGAGATGCTGAAGAAGTAATATCCCGAGAATCCATAGATTCCATGGTTGATGGGAATAGTTCAATATTCACGAGTCTTGGTTGCACGTTGCTACCTCTATTTAAGAAAAATGAATTCATCGTCACTTATACTTTACTAAGGGAAATCAATAACCTGTCCTTATGTAGATCGTCCATTTATTAAGTGGTCAAATTTGCATAGCAGACTCTATGAATTCAATTCTTAGTAGACTCGTGATACTGGTGAGGGGTTTAGTCTATCTTACTCTTTGTTGACTATACAGTATGTGACAATAATAGAAAAAGGATAATCTTGCTTTTACGTTCTCTTCAGAAAATTAAATAT